ACACTTTGCCGCGCCCCCCCCCACCCCCACACCCCCACCCACACCCACACCCACACCCACACCCACACCCACACCCACACCCACACCCTTAATGTAATAGTTGCTATTGCTCTTTCCATTCCACTCATTGTTGTCCTATGGCAACAGTAATGATTTCATAACATTCATAAAAGGTTTCGTCATCATTGACGTAATTGAGAAAGCTTTTATGTGTATGAATCCAGTATTGAAAAAAAACGCGGATGTGAGTGGAGAAAAATCGAAATTCACACTCATCACAGCATCAAACAGAGTCAGCATGGTGGGTATGGGTGTTGATGGGTGTGAGTGTTGGAGTGGGTACAGAAAACTTCTATATGTACACCCATATCTTTCCACACACATACGCATTCCACGTCCCAAACTAATCCATACACACACACCATACCCACCCACAATCATCTCCCAGACACCCATACTCCACACTCACACACCACTCCCACTCATCACCCAGACACTTATACTCCACACTCACACCCCACACTCACACCCCACACCCACACCCCACATCCACACCCAAACCCACACCCACACACCACACCCATCCACTCACCCACACACCCATGCCACACACCCACACCCACAGCCACACCCCCACCCACACCCCACCCATACCCACACCCACACCCACACCCACACTCACACCCACACGCACACGCACACGCACACCTACATTTCTAAAACTTTTCTCGCACTAAATGAAATATTTTTATTCGAGTTTGAAGATAAGATAACACACCTAGTTATGGTAAAATTTTGTTTCGAAAGTTTGTTCCTAAAAAATGGATCACCAAAACATTATGGTAACGCACTCACCAATTGTTTGGAGCTCCTTGATAAAGCACATTTTTTATAGCTTCAACAATGATATAACCTGATCCACTAATTTCAAATAATAGTTCAAAGTTCGATGATGCTACCATGATTTTTATTTCGAAAAAATAATAAAGTAATGTTGAAAATATAATAAAACACAGTAAGCACCCCATTTCATCATTTTCACACAAAAATGCTGGATTTTGGCGAGTGGCTATCATTTCGTCTCGTTATTATTCAAAATAAATGGCATCTATCGATAGAGAATATAGGAAAACCTCTAAGAATTTTTGAAAGAATAAGTTTGGTCGTCTTATGCTCGAGAAAACTTTTGCTGAACTTTGGCCACGTTGGGTCATCGTTAGCTGGGCAAGCTGTTCAGCTTATTTAAGATCGATTTTCCAAAATGTAGAATTTGAAAAAACTTTTCAGTGTGTGGTGTGAACATAGGATATTTATTCCAGTAATCAGTTTGAGAGGAATTGAAGAGAATCATTATAACGTTTCTTTTTCAAATCTATTTCTTTTTCTTCAAAGTTTGACGCATGAATAGTTTAGTATACCAGCACAACATTTTCTTGACGTCAGCTTTACCGACAGGACATCAACATCTTAGTCGTATATAATTACTTCTGCAGAGTCATGAACCATACCGTAACTCATAATGACAATATTCGCATTACATGCTTCTATTTTAAAAATAATGTTGAATCCAACAATGTAATAAATAAATAACTAAATGTTAGCAGCCTTGAAAAAAAAACGCTAAATGATCAGTAGAAATGTTTTCAAGATACTTCCTCTCTTTCATTTACATAAAAACATCATAACAGAAGCAAACCTTTCATTACTAGTAGTATATCGAAATAGTGTACATCATTTTAGCACTGAAAACTGGTATATCATGGCTTCAAACTCAAATCAAATAACAACAACACCAGATCATCAAACGTATGTCAAAACGATGGTAAAAGTATGGTTGATGAGTATTGTTACCAGCATAGCAATTATATGTTCTGTGATTCATCTTTACCAACTGTTTACCAAACGTGTTCTACGAGAAGCATTAAACAATCATGCAATTATTGTTCTTAATATTTTAACACTTTGCGTTCTAGTATTGGATGTTCCCTTCTATTTGGGCATTCTACATACAGGCTATGTCTGGTTTCCAACACCAGCCTTTTGTCTCTACTGGTGGAATATCGATGAATTTTGCTATCAAATTACGCTTGTGACTGTAGCTGTAGCATCTGTACAACGACATTTTCTTATTTTTCATGAAAAATGGTTATCAACTGCGAAGAAACGATTTTTTATACATTATATTCCAATTTGTCTAGCCATCGCATATCCAATATTATTTAATGTTCTGGGCCAATTTGTCGGATCTTGGTGCACTGTACCTGTATATGATTACACGAAGCCATGGTGTCAAAACGTTCCTTGCTTTATGAACAACACTTATCTTCATATGTGGGATATGTTTTTCAATTGGGTTTTCATTGGTTGGGTTAGTTTTATAGCGGATTTGTTTCTTATTACACGAGTACTTTGGCATAGACGTATTCGTTTACATCAACCGATCGTGTGGCGAAAACACCGTAAAATGACCATTCAGTTATTATCAATTTCACTGTTCAGCTCTAGTTTTAACAGTCCAATGCTGACCTACACCGGAATGCGTTTTTTCAAACTTGTACCTGCATCTGACTATAGTACAGCCATGGAAATTTATTTTGTATACTATTTTTCAGCAATATTACTATCACTGGTTATGATACTTTCACTACCAAAAGAATATTGGTGGGGTCGATGGCGGGACGCATTGGTCAAAATTAGAGATAATCGACGGCGAAGACTAGTATCGATGACTAGAGGTGGGTAGAATACAAGTCGGTAGAAGAATTCAAACAAAGTCTGATTTTACTTAATCGAAAAAGGAAATTGCAATGCAACTTTGTTTAAATTATTTCTCGAAAAACGTTTGATTTATCCACTTTTTACAACAATATCAAACCAAAGATGATTTTGCCATCGTATATGAAAGACCTTACATCTGTCATGACACTCTGTTGTGATTGTTTACTATGGCACCCAATATATTAAATAATATTTGTGTTATCTAATAATCACTAACATATCATTTTGCTTCTAGTGTACACTTGTACTTAGCTGCTCTTCAATAAAATACCTCACTGCTTTTGTGATTGATTTATGCAAAACAATAATAATCGAAGTCAACAGTTTTGAATTTGTTCTAAAATGATTTTTGATGATGACATATGCAAGTTAAATCAATTTAAGCTCTATGGACAGGTATTTTTTTAAAATAGAAACATCATCCTTCAAACGAAAAATACCTATTTCAATATGGATAATTGACAATCAATTCATAAGAAATGATGTACAAACTCAAGCAGTTGGTGAAATAAAGTTGTCATGAAGACTTCATAAGCTAATTGAATTCTTCATTACTTCGATCATATTTCAATAAATAATAGCAATAGAAAAATGCCACAAACTTATATTTACTGATATCTCGGAGCAAGACTCAGAAGGACTCATTTATGGATCCTACATTGAAAAGTCTATCGCTATTGTCATCAATATTGATTTCGCTAGTCGACGTTCTTGTATCGATTCTGCCCAGATTCCTGTTTTTCTTGAACGTCAGACAAGATTCTTGTCTGCGAAAAACAAATCATAATTTTCAGCCAGAATCATGCAGACCAAATCTGGTCTGATAAGGTAAGAATTGTCTCGCTAGGAAAGATTCTTGATTCTTTTACTCTTGACTTTCTCGCCAGATTTAGTTTTCTTGAATCTAGCATACTTATTGAAAATCACATTAAATGATAAAAATAATTTATTTACATATAAACAAAGGAAGAGAAATGATTAGAAGGTTTTGTTTACGTCAAAATTAAAAAAAGATATTAAATTCAATTTAAAAATACTTACAGTGGAAAAAAAAGGTACCGCTCGAAGACTTTTTATTTTAAATGCATTTTAAGGAGCCTAAAAAGAGGTTCGTAGAAGCTGCAGAACTTATAAAAAGATTCCTGGACACTTGATATTTCTTTGAAGGTGCCTTAGGTCCGTATGAAACCTTTTCGGAGGTATGTATTTCGCTGCAAAACAAAAGTGTTCCCTACGGTACCTTTTTTCAGTGTAGGCATTACTATAATTCGTTTTATTCATATTTATCACTTGTAATCGAAGATGATTGACGTGTCACTAAACCATTGTTGTCTGTAAGATCTAAAATCCTCATTAGTTTGACTTATTAATGTGTCTATAAATAACTATTTACTAATAAATATTTTCACTTACATGACGTTGACGTATAACTTGTACATTATTTGAACAGAATATCTTATTTCTTCTAAGTGAACACAGTAACTCTTATCTGTGTTGTTGCAAAAGGAAGAAATAATGTTCAGATATATATATATATATATATATACATGGATACAAATACACAAAGACTTCACGCGATATGTCTTGAAGAGCAAACAAGATTCCTTTTTCCTTTCCTCTTCAAAGAATGTTGTTTTAACTAGAAGAAATTCGAGATCTCTTGTTAATCTTTCCAGATTCTTGTTTGTCTTAGCATTCAGACAAGATTCCAATGAAAAAAGCGAATTTGCAACGTATTCTTGAGAACGCATTTTTTTGGACTGAAACGGGTTATTTTTTCGTTGAACGCGTTTAAATGATCGAGTTTATTTTTGTATAGCGATGATGAACAGATTCGAACTTTGGATATTTTTCTTGACTTCTGTGATGCAGTTGTACCATACTTACGTTTTAAAGTAGAAGATTGGCATGCCTATATATGTTGAATAATAATAGAGATTTTGAATTTTTTTTATGTTTTGAGAATTGTTGACATATTTTTTGCTGGGTATTCAAGATCAATAATTATTTATACTTCGGACTAATGCCACACTTTTCTCATAATTAATTATAGTATTTTTATATATTTTTTCTTTTCAGCTATATAAATATTTTTGTTTCAGATAGAATCTTGATAACTATAACTACTCTTTTATTTGAATTTTCATTGAATAAAATTTTGATGGAAAATCCTAAACGGCACAAATCTATAAATATTCAGGTAGCTTTCACTGGAGGGGGAAAGAAGATTAGACTATTAAGTAAACAGTCAATCGTAAAAGACTTCATGAACAAATATTGCGTATTCATTCTTTTATAATGTGCTTGTGTTTATAAACTCATATTCAACATACAAATAAAATTTCAATTCTGAAGATTCAGAAATTCAGTCAAATATAAACACTAGGTTTCTGCTATTCAATCCATAGAAATAAATTAGCAGATATTTTTTCAGCATGTTCCTTGGTTTTTTCAGTTAGAAGTTTTCTTGGTGCAAATACCTTAGTTCCTTTTTTATGAAATCTTTTCCTAACAGTAATAATTTTTCTTTTGGTTTTTAATAATATTTAATGTGTTACAGTGTTTTATCCAGTCGGGGGGAGGCATTTTGCCCCGCCCCCCACGAGAAAAAGAGAAAAATTTTAGAAAAATAAAATCCATATGATTTTTCTAAAAATATTTTTGATGAGAGATCTTTCCAAGAATTTCAATAAATAAAATGTTACTAAAATAGAATACATTCGTATTCCTTAGTGTGATGAAATTATAATGATTTTTTTCTTTACTCAACATTAAAATGAACAGTTTGTCCTATCAGATCATTTCTATAGCATGAATATTATTATATATACAAGCACGGAAATGTATGTAAATTAATTAAGAATCAAACAGCAGATCATTGTGTATTGCGTATGTTAGATTAATGTAATAGCAATGTTTAATTGAATGTGTTAGTTGGGTGTGACATTAATCAATCTCAATACATGAGAAATGTTTAAAATAAGCACACGCTCTTACCTTTTATTTTCATTTTTCTCATTGAGAGGGGTGTCACGAGCACGGGAGGGGGGATGACGCTCCCCTTTGCAATAATCGGAAATTCTGTATTTTTTCTTCAATTATTTACAAAATTTTAAAGAAATTCGCAACAATGGACGGGGGCACATAAGAGGTCAAATCGGCCCATTAGGAATTGTTCGGGATAACCCTATTGAATCATACACCATTTGAAAGAGCAAGTTAAAGTGAACATTTTGATGCTATTTTCATGGGGTTTTGATCGAATTTTTGAAGCGAAGAGCTATTTACAAAGTTACTCATTTTTGGGCACTAATCCAATAATCGATCATATCCATGGTCGACCTAGTTTTAGTATAAGTTGATATGGAAAAATGGTTGTGAAATTAAGTATTTGATAGCTTCTTGATGGGGCTTTAGTCCTATATAAGAATTAATAGTTCCTTGTTCGATTCAGTCAGAACAGGATCTGGCATATTACGAGACACTGTTGACATATGGCCTATATTTATCAGTAATTTTTATCTTTCAACAAATATTTCATCGAATAAATTAAAGGTACCAAAATTCTGGCAGTGTTCATTCGATAGCGCTTTTCAAAAG